TGACAATAAAAGTACATAATTACAAAATGCAAAGTGAATGAATATGAAAAAGGTTATTACGTTGTGTAGTTGGTGGAASATCTTGGACMGTCATTGATTTTYGCTGATCACGCTTCATTATGGCTTCCTCTCTTGGCTGTCTTTCTAGCATTCTGTTCATGAAATCTGGCGTCATGTCTGTAAGCTCCCTTCGGAAATCATCCAGTGTTCCCTCTTCTATGCCTCTTCGTGTGGTTTGGAACACCTCTTCAACATAATCTGAAAAAAAGGAATTGGGCAGTGATACCTGGACAATTATAATAGTATAATTGTATCAAGATGTATTGGTTTTTTTGACATTATTTTTAACTAATTTTGTACACTGGCTCTACAAAAATAAGGGATTCTCCACTTTTGATGAATAGTATCAACAAACCCATCTCACTTATTATTAGATGAATTATTATGATTTTCAATAACACTCTGAGAGATGACTTCATTAGTTCAACAAAAGCAAATCTTAGTATTTATTGACAATTTAATAGATACAGTACATTGGCATCTAAACCTTACTCACCAAAATTTGGCTCAATTCGTACATCTCGCACTGTGGCTTCCCCGTTCTTAAATTTTGGCCATATGACTTTTACTTGCTTTTGACCACCATCAAGTTGTCTGACCTCCCTCTGAAGGTTGGAATTGAAGTGAAGAACTGCTAATACATGCCTGATAATGAGAAAAACACATGCTAGTATATAAGTTAAACTATTGTCAACAATCATCAATAATTTGCCTATAATTCAAACCTGCAATACATCCCAGCATAGGAGTAAGCAATCATTTTTGGCGCAAACTGGTTGACCACGGAGTGAAACCCCTCTAGACAGCTAGTTTGAGCAATGGGAGATGCCTTCTTGATTGCCTTCTCTAGATTTGTCTTGGTCAGTTCTTTTACCAGCTTCTCATACACCACTAAATCTACTCAAAGTAATAATAATGAACATTTTGTAAGACTAAATAATGAAGATATAGTTTATTACATCCCCGGCATACCTCTCGTCAACCACTCTCTCTGTGGAATATCCCTTCCATGATGACACCTGTCAAATAATGGGTTATCTAGACCTTCATGTTTGTTAACAATGTGATCAAGATAGCTCTTGAATTTTGCCCACATAACTTCGCCATTGCCATCATGTGTAGAGCAAGCACTCCAGTAAAGGTGGTTACTACAAGGTTTTATCCATGGTGTCAATACCTCACCGCCACTTTCCTTAGATAATTTTGTCAAAACTTTAGTAATCTCTGCAAAAAATGATGTGATGTAATAAATTATTATGTAAATCAGTTCACTCTGCCCCAAACCCAATGTTTTGTCAWGTTAAGACTTATRTTGGCTAGTATCAATAATGATTTCACTCCCTTRCTACCAACCCTTATCTTATTGTCTATGTGATAATACAAAGATGAATGTTGTACCTTCCAGGGTGTGAAAGCAAGCAGGATTTATTTATTAATTGATTGGCATGCTAACTATTATATAAGATTCTGGTTTTAACGTTACTTTGCTAGTGAAAATTGAATGGACTTACTTTTTTTTAAATGCCATAGATCAAAGTAATGTTTGATTTTATCCAATTTTTCTTTCATATGCTTACAAATTGAAGTATGGCGGTCAGATATGAAAGTTGAAATGGGGATTTCAACTTCCTGTAGGTATTCCATAGATCTCTACAAACCAAGGTATTCCATGGTAGAGCTGCTACCGGATTCATTTTTTCTGCAATTAAGAGTAAAAAGTAAGTAAGCATGTAAAAGTAAGCATGTAAAAAAACTTTAAGAGAATGACGTTTTCAAGTACCTGTACTAGTTCAAAGTGGATGATTTTGGATATGTCGCAACAAAAGGTAGTGTAAGAACAGTACTTRGCGCTGTGGCCCATACTATCATGGCGACCATCCCCACCTATCACCACACTGGAGCCCAAGGAGTTCACTTGTTCAATCAGGTTTTGCTGGTACATCTTACAATGTGACAGAATTGATGGGAACAGAAATTTCTGTAATAAAAACATTACTTAACTCAATGTACTATAGGAAATCCTATGAGTAATCATTTCCATTTTTCTAAGAACGATTACTACAATATTACATATTACATAGTACATTCGTGATGTTGACCCCCCTCCCCCACCCCCCTTTGCTGAGATAATTAGTGAGAAACACTGTACAATGAAATCTGTAGCTACAAAAATATACACATATACTCTATAATATATCAATTTTGATTATCTTTACTTACACGCTGATGTGTGAGAAGAAAGTGTACATTGAAAAACATCTAAGGCCCATGAGTTTGAATATTCTGGAAACTCTGCTGAAGGATCCACCAGCAAGCAAAGTTGCAAATGATAATAARAAATTCCCTCCCTCTATTTTGGTTCCAGGCATAGAAGTCTGGCTTTTCCAAACAAACTCCTTATTGCACTTTGTGTTTGTGCATATGGCAGATACTTTTGCCATTGTCCCAACTTCATAAGTGGTCACCAATGGGTWTGGAGCACAACAGAAAAAACAGAACTTGAATAACATCAGTAGTTGAGTAAAACACACTATGAACTTGGGCTCTGTGCGTATGTCATCATCATTCATGTAAACCTCCCTATTGAAAAAAAAGCCATATCAACAGGAATGCAAAAATAGGGCTATCACACAAAAAAGCAAAATACACAAATCCAAATGGCACTGAAGAATAKTCTGAACTGCAGAAGTTTTTCCAGCTATTTGTTACTTGCAAACTCACACATACACAGACTGTGTAATTTAGACGTTCTTATGTAAAGCATCAGTTTGACCAGGCAACTCCAATATCCTTTCTTACCTTGAAAACCTACGATCTTCGTCAACTTCTTCACCATCACTCTCGTCAGATGGCACTTCGAGTGCTTCGGCTTCTATGGAGAAATCCATGTCCGCGTCCTCGACTTCATCCCCACTTTCATCTTCTTCAGGTTCGGATGGCATACTAGCATCACTGAGATCGCCACACACATCTTCTATTTGGGCATCATTGACTTTTTTCGGGATTTCTACTGTTTCGATTTCTTTTTTACGAGTTTTCTTACAATCTGYAATGAAAAAGTCAAAACAACAAGGGTAACTCATTGAATCTCTTACATGTAAGCATTTCAGTCAGTCCCTAGTTTGTGCTGACTACAGGGAAAAATTATATGCGGATTTTATACGTACCACTTCGTTCAATCTGCTGACGTCTTCTGAGAGCTAAAACCTCAGCGCGATACTTGCGCAGCTTGTATCTGGCTGACAACCAATTACTCTTTAGCTGTCGATTTCGCTTTGAGAGTTTAGCGCATTCAGAACAAGCCTAAATTAAAACAACAAAAGTATAATTAGAAGTAATTACGTCGGATCGCGGCCTTGAAAATAGACCGCTACACTCTCTAAAGAAATCAACAAAAGGTGAACACAAAGCGTAAGCTAGCCGACAATCATAAATTATCATTTTCGAATCATCGGAAAAATAACCTACTTTTTCTTTTGGTTCGGTGAAAACATCTGAAGGACTGACTGGCGACTCGTTGGCTTCGAATGTATTTTGTTCTACTGACGGATTTTCAACGACGATCGATTCTTCTTCAGAGTTTATTTGAGTAGAGTTTTCATCTCTTATATTCCCTTCACCTATCTCCGCTGCTGGCTCTAAACTCTTCCTCAATATTGCATCTCGCTCTTTCTTTTTCTACAAGAAATGAAAGCACAAACTATATTAGCATCATTTCAAAATCTTTGATAAAAATGTAAGCATGACTTACCTTGCGCAAACTGCGAGAAGAAGGACGCTCAGTACTTTCAGAGGCTGAATTTTTTTTTGTTGGGTATGCTGTAATCCCAAACTCATCTTTTTTAAGTCTCATATACTTTTTGCTATTAGGGATGTCCAAGATATATGGACTTTCATAATCCGATGGTTCGAAATGCTCTGAGCATACTGCCGAAAGTTTCGTCGCTTTCCAGTTCGCGCGTGTGTTAGACACGAAGTCTGTCCATCTCTTGCSTCTTTTCTTGGCTTCTGCCCTCTCGTYGTCAAAAAACGGGATGCGATGAAGAGATATCCCTAACGCTGCATTTGACTCATTCGAGCAGCCACCAACAACGCACCGATCAGGCATTTAGATCAAAGAACACTGAACACGGACTATCGATATGTACCTGACAACAGTAACAACTCCAAAACTTCAAAGACTGCCGTCTTCAGTCGTCCCTTAAGCTACGTCATCACATTCCTGGGAACTACTATTATGATCGCTCATGATTAATTAGACAGGAAGCCCAATTCAAGGTTTTTCGCCGAGTTTTCAACTCGATAAAAAAAACAGGAAATAATATTTGGGTCAAAATCCTTCAAAAATGTCATTTTTAATGCTTAAGGTTTTTATTTAAAATGTCATTTTTTAAGCATTATAGGCACTTTAATACTAATGTACTTATTGCCCTTGAATACCTAATTAACTACTACGTTCAACTTAGAAATTTTCCGTCTTTAAACTTTAAACTTGAAAGAAAGAAAGAAAAATTCAAATGACACAAAGTAGATTCGAACCCACAACCTTAGCTTTGAAAATCCTATACTTAACACGCTATGCTAACTGACTAATCGATGTCAGTTGTGGAATAAAACAGTTATTTAACATTGTCCAGTTACTTGTTACAAAAGGTATATTGTTAGCATTGGTCTCATGGGACTAACGACAAAAATGCTTATGCAAATTATTACCGTTGGGAATTGTCAATACAGTAAATTTCGTAACCTTTCTAATCGAGGTTTTGGTTTTTAGTTCATATGAAAACGGCTTCTTTGCCTATTTTAAAATGAAAATATTAATGCAGTGCTTGGAAAACTTCTTCAAGTATGAAATAAGCCAGATACGGCCCCTCGTGCTTTATATGGCTTATTCCCGACGTTCGAGGTATTTATCTCTTACTTACAACACTGGTTTGTTCAGAGCCCGATAATGGTTAACTCTTAGAAAACCTATGTTTAACCCTGGATTAACGCAAATCGGGCTTTGAACAACCCGGCCCAGTACTATCGACTATCTACTATTGGCCATCGTTCCGACTTTTCCGTGCCTCGACAAAGCTTTTGTCNCAATGTATTTAAGTGTCTTCACTCTCAGGAGGGGCGTGTACCCAACTTCGTCCCCAGGACCTTTATCCCTTTGAAGGGAGCTGAGCCTGGGAACGAGGTTATCGCGCACCCCTGTAACCACCAGTTTGATCCGCCATATATTATTACAAATCGACCAGCATCTTTATATTAAAATATGTTGTTGTTTTTTTGCTGCTGCTGTTGTTGGTGCTGTTAGCGATTTTGTATTTTGCAGAAGAATCGTATTCATGTGAAGATGATATCATTTTTTCGACACGAATCTTGTGCCRCAAATGGTCATGTGACATGACGTAAAGATAGCTGTCAAAACCTAGAATATCAAGCATTAGTATTACCATGCTAGTTGGACTATTGCAAATCCTTCGTTCTTATTGGCTACGCTACTCGGGGTCTACTATTTTCAATAGTCCTCGACTAGCGAAAAGCGACAACTTTTTGCGTATTTTTAGCAATATAAACATTTGGTTATTTATATATATATATATTTCCTCCATTTTTTGTCCAACTAGCTAGTCTGGTAATACTAAAACAATTAGATCTCTCGGCCTCATGGAGTACGAGCTATCAGCTCGTAGTCCACTCGCCCTCGAGATCTGATTGTGAAATATATACATGTATCGAGAGTTTAATTTGGAGAACAATTAGTTCCCCATCTTGAAAAGTGAGCCCGAATCACTATGTTGTGCCTTTTAACACGTTTCTTAGTTGCCAAGGCAACTAATCCATCATTCTATCGTCTTATTTTAACTTGATATTAACTGAGAAGCTTTTAATTTCTTAAATAAGGAGTTATAATTTAATGATTAGAGTCCACTTTTCAAGATGGCCGACGCATTGTTTTCCGAATTTCCTGATGCGCATGTATCATAAGCTAATTAACCACCATCGATTAGCTAAACCGTTACCACAACATCTTCTTTGTCTGGAAGGTAGACGAAGGATTAAACTGTATATCTAATTAAAAAACTATGCCAAAATCTTCAATGCTGAGCAAATMCAGGATTACCGTTTCTATAGAGGCAATCAAACAAAATAAAAACAAGCTAAGTAGAGAAAGATCTTCTTTACTTTAATAGAAAGCATATAGGAAACTGTACATGGTACATTGTCTGCTTATTTAAAAGTGGTGTAATTGTAAAATGTTATGCGAAGTTAGTGTGTTTATATGTTATGCATATTTCTAAGAAGAGACTTTCAATTATAAATTTTAAAAACACTTTAATACACACTTTGACGATAGCTAGAAAGATATCAGATTGAAATGTATATATGGAAATATTTTTCTTCTTTTCTTTTCAGTATTAGGCAAAAACAGTCATAAACAATCATGCTACGACTAAAAATCACAAAACGAGAATAAATATAAGTGCATTTAAATTTTCAGACTTCAAGTTTCAACAAAAACAGTTTATAACCCATTTTTTTTTATCTCTCAAAATATAATGAAATCGTTTCGCTATAATAATTATAATTTTTCTTGGATGCTTATGGCTTATGTTTCGACTAATACACCTAAATCGCGTAATATGTTTGAATCTTATAATGTTTTTTTAAGAATAATCGTGAGGAAAAGTTGACCAGTTAAGCCTTTTGTTTATTAATGTCGACTTAGGAGTCAACATATACTGAAATTGGAAGTGCATTTGTGACATATACTGTCTGCCAAAAGGCTTACAACTCGGACTGCGATTATCAGTCGAATATATCATAGSCTGAAAAGGTAATCGATCAAACAAAACAAAAATCAGCCCCACCACAAAGAAGCGAAACATTTCAACACATCGTTAGCARAAAGATTTTGTGKCTTCGAAGCTTTTGTTTTTGTCATTTACACCTGCTCTGATACCATCTGCATATATTGGTGAACATTTTTGGATCTTGTTTATATCCACAAAATCGATTGTTATCGCTGCTACATAACGGTTTTGAGTCAGCACTACCCACAATCGCATCCATTGATAAATCAAGATTCATTGGACAATAGTTAAAAGGGGGAATTTGGAGAGAAACATTGTATTTGACAAAATTAGGCTCAGCCATTACGGAATACGGAAGAACTGGTGTTTACTTTGAAGGGAAAAGCGTCTCTAAAAACCAAATGGACTTTTTTTTAGCTTTCAACTACACAGCTAACTATATATATTCATAACTGAATTGGTCATCAGGGAGATGTAGAGATTTGAAGATAAGTTCTCTTTGTTGGGCTTCTCCATAGCKTCAGGATACCTTATTAACTCCTAAGCAACGAACTGTCTCCAAAACGAATTATTCAACGACAGTTAGAATCACAGAATGTTTTGGCTTATTTTAAAGAAATTCAATTGAGAAATGCGCTGAGTATTGAAAACTAAATTCAAGTCGTATGGTTTGGAAATAATTCTRCGATTCGTGCATAAAAAAGATTGTCTTTCATAATTTACTACTACGGCCGAAAAGAGTGTAAAGACTTCTCGACGACAAACATCTAAGGTGGTAAGTCGCTGTGTTCAATCTTCCTTGGGTGCTTAAAACATCTTCATAATTGAAAAACTATAACTCGAAACTGCTAAAACTTTGTCAGGTTCAATTGAATATTTATCATTTTTATTCCCACGACATCAGCGCGAAACCTTGAACAAAGACACAGTACTTTCAGCGAATACACCGAATTGTGAATCAAGTTATCGAAGAGGCTTAGTCAACACTGGTAATGTCCTAAAGATTTTTTTGTGACGAAGTGAGAACATCTACGGCTGCAACTAACTTTATACTCATTAGATTACAAGACAATMATTTTCTGCAAAAGCAACTGGATTTTTAGTATTTTTCAAGTAAACACTCTATACGACTGGTATTAAAAGAAGAATACGAGGATCTTTTCGTCATGGTTTACAAGTATATACCAATATACTTTATTGCTGGTGTAATTGGTTTTGTAACCTTGTTTATGCTMTGTTGCATCTTCAATATCGTATGCCCCTACGAAAAATTACGCCAAGCATTCGTMTTGTGCCGTGGTTACGAAGAACACAATAACTCGTTGACAAGGAAAGACAGGCATAAACTACTGAACGAACAAGACGAAGAAGAGGGAGGTACTTATTAYTTGAAATACCATAGAACACATCTGATCTGAAAGACAATATAAACTGTAGACATGTACAGAGTGCGCAGAGCGCTATGATGGAGTGCTTGCACTAATACACCTTGGCACACTTTAATTGCATTGTTTTCTTTGGTGTCTATTTTACTACCACACTTTAATAGTCAAGTTTTGTTTCATGGGTTTAATGAGCTAATTTCTGAATCCGTGAAACAAAGTGCAATTTGCATAAAAGTGTGATCAAATTTGATTCACCGAAAATATCAAAAAAGGTTCAAATTCAAGAGAAATAACTTGAAGTACGCCAAAGTGTGTATTTCACGGGCTAGTGTGGCGTCAAATAAATAAAAAAAAAACAAAACCTTAGTACGCTCTAATTGCATTGTTTTCTTTTGGGACTACTTTACTCACACAATAGTCAACTTTTGTTTCATGGGTTTAATGACCACACTAATGAAAACAACTTTTTAAAAAGCGTGAAACACTAATAATCACTTATGTTTAATTATACAATTAAAATAGTGCTAGCTGAACAATAGACAACAATAGATTTAACATAATTTAGCAGTYGGAGGGACATTCACTCCGGAAACTACAAAATAACAACACTTACCAAACATTATTGCACTGTAAGTTCTAGATCCACGGGTGCCAAAATATTAGATCTCCGCACGCGACAATAAGATTGATTTTTGAAACACTCTTACCAGACCCTCCTCCGTTTCCTAAAGGAAAATCGAAGTCTCTGGTTAGAGACAAACCGGAAGTTCGAGAATCTGTGTCTTACGATATATGCATCTATTGTCGCATGGGAATTTTTTAGCCAATCAAATTCGTAACCACCAAACTATATGACAAATTTTATAATAAGAATATGATCAAAAACAAACAGTGTTTTCAAAGCCCAAAATTAAAAATGCACAGGGAACCCGCACGACTGATGACATACAATTCTTTGATATGAAATAAATAGRGAAAATGAAATGAAAACAAGAAAGAAATAAAAAAAGAAGAGAAATTGGCACAAAGTCTTTTGGACCTTGTTCTGCCATATAGCCTTTCCCCTGTGGTCGATAGCGCGTGTTTTTTTCTATTTTATAACTATAAAAGAGATTTTAATTAAAAGGTATAATTTCCGTGTTAATGTTTTAATAAAGAAAGAWTGCTAAGATTTAGAAACAAGAACGCATGAAACAATCGTGCCCTTTGATATCATTTCTGGAAGCAAGGAAAGAGCAACAGAAGTTCCAGGGTCATTCTTACGCATGATTCTGTTGATTCCCTCGCAACCTACCCTTTTGTCGGGCATAGACTAAACATGATAGACTATAGTTCACTGAACTAGAACAATAGAACAATCAGCTGACATGATCCCCTCTGATTTGAATCAAAATATTAAATTACATTTGCACGTATTCGAACTGATTTGAACTGTAGCGTAAGCTGACACCCAAGTTAGGGTTTTTCGGCTTCGAGAAAGTGTTTGTAGGAATATAATGGGGTTTTGGAAAGCTAGAGTACAAACACTAAAACTGTGCAACATTATAAATACCACTAAATACTGCCAAATTATGCTAATTCTATTGTTTTCCATTGTTTAATTAACACTATTTTGTAGTAAATAGTGGAAAGTGTTGCACACATTTAATGTTTGCACTCTATTCTGCTGTAATTAGAGCTGTCCGCTTTATACCAGAGCGCCGCAAATTCRACTGTAATTGACTTGGTCAAAATACGGAGGCATGCTACTTCTTGTCTAACAAGCCTTTTTTAAGACTCATGTAAAAACTGACGTTCTATTTACTTGTATACATGTAGTGAGAACAAATAGCTCCAGTATCTATTTTTATTTCACTAAGCGTGTTGACTAGTAATTGCTTTCGCATGTGAGAAAATCGCGCAAAGTCAGTCTCGGATGCAGGCGGTTCTTTGTAATGATCACCAAAGTCCTTGTATTTTRGCTCTTCGCGGGTTGCCTCTGTTTGGGTTCCTTTGCCCAACGATTAATTGAAATTCGGTTATTTTCTAAGCACGAGTTGATTAGCTAATGACTAGACGCACGACGTCCTCGTGCGTGATCTTCCACCCGTATGCCCAACGGCAATGATGCAATTAAAGTATACTATTACATACACAAAAATAATCTAGCCTAACACGGATAAAATAAATATAAATATTATTCAACGGATGAACCTCTCTAGTTAAACAAAATAGAACTAAGATGAAACAATCGAAGCGTCAGCTGTTTTTAGAACATCTAAACACTGCTATTAACAACGAAGTCACGTACAATCATTTGTTCGAATGGACTCCCTGTGTAGAGTGACGCGTGTTGCGTGACTAAATAAGTACTAGACTTTGTTCGTTCAGTCGTGTTGTTGCTGTTTTTAAAATTGACACTCTCAGCAATTTTAAGGTATGAAGGCTARACAGCCTGGTGGTTTTACATTCAATGTGCCATTTGAATCTGAGCAGCCATGGTTAATAACGAATCCGTGAGGCAAACAGAAGAACGAGAAGGCAGAAACTGCTGTTTTATTGGTATTATTCACCAGGTTTGTGATACAAGAAGGTCCGACGAAGAAGAAWCCAGTACTGCAACCGACAATACAACATGCAGAAGAAAATTTAAAGTTATCATCTTAGGATTGGGATTTTCCTGCATTGTAATTTGCTTTATATTCGCCACACTGGGCTACACTTCAAAACTCAGAATTTGTCATGGTCAAGACAGAACTAAATGTGAAAAAGACCCAAGGAAGTTCTCCCAAGCTCAAAACTACAGATTAACGGCWGCCCTYTTGTTTATAGTGGGGATGTGTTTRATARTTGGGTTTGTTTGGCTTGTTAAAACCGACGGACGAGCCCAGGAGCTGAGAATTCGACCTGATATCCTAGTGTCAGACGTGACAGCGGAAGGGCTGCTSAAGTCTCCTGCYCCTACCCTTGTTCATCCAATTTCTCATTTACACAATCTAGTCTACGAATCTCCCTTGGTAGAAAAATTAACTAGCGTAGACGATTTACCAAATTATGACACCGTTGTACAGCTACAAAAGGAAGGAAGGTCTAGCGTTACACCMGATGGTARAATMATAACAATTAAAGGRATACAAACTGAAAGYGTTGGAACACAAGTCGACGAAGATGACATCAACCCACCACCATCTTATTTACAAGCTTTGGATTTAATACATGAGTTRGGGGGAGAGGTACATTTTTAGAACAGTGACACTGGACAAGAGCGAAAATGTTTTTGTTTGMTGAATATAATTAGCGAGCGTCACGCAAATATCACGCCATGTGCATGAGGTGATCACATGATGCGAGGTCAAGTTTGTTGAACGTGGACGTGATCATTTTCCTCATAAAAACGTGGTTTTGTTTATGTTTTTTTTTAGAGCCAATCAAGGTCCATGTTATTTGTGTTATTTTATATTATCGAATAATTTTATCTCGATTTAATTAATGGTAAATAGCGAACTTGACTTTCATAAGAGAGAATATTTATTCTGGAAAAACATGATTAAAAAACAAGTGATTGTTCAGAATTAAGGAATGTGTATTATTGAGAAATGATTTTACTTGACGTACAAGAGAGCTTGAAGAAAAAAAAAAGGCTTGAAAACATAAACGAAAAAGCTTAGTATTTATTCTGAACAATGAAGTTGTAGTATTTGTAAGCTTCTACCTGACATGTTTTGGTGATARACTAGTTTTATTTATTTCTATTTGTAGCTTATGAAGCTTTGACCGGTTTTGCAYATGAAAATGCAATTAGATATTGATTAATCTCGCTTCTGATTCAGGGCCAGTGAACACTGATATACATTCCACTATATCTTGGCGGTCGCGGCTTTACGATTCGCACTGGTAAAGGGGTCAGTACTTCATGTAAAACTCCAGGAATTGGCTCTTTCTGATATTTCAATGTTTACGTTTAGCGTACATATCGGTCGTGTCTGACATGAAGTACTAGCCGATAGAGGCTTCCTGCTATACACTGAAAATATTTGCAGTTCTGGGAATTTTTAAAATTTTTAAAATGATCAATCAAGATGCAATGAATTAAGCTTATATTTCAAAGGGTTTAGAGGCCTACTGAATATTAATATATATGTTCTTACATAATTTAATTTTCTTAGTTATTTTATCCTTTTTCACTTAATTGTATTTCCTCATTTGGTACGTATACACTTTTAAAGTGTAAAATTAATTGTTTAAATACATTATATTTATTTTAATCCAAACTTACTTGCGTTAGTTTTTACTTTACAAATCCTATTAGTTCCAATAATAAAAATTTATCACTGAATTATTGCCCAGATGCCCAAGATTTGAAATTCAGCACTTGTTGTTGCAATTACTCTGGGTCCACTAAAAAAATAATATTGTTTGAAAAAGTTATTCAGGCTATACTGGTCAGGTCCCCATTTGTTAGGGTCCTTTCTGACTCATTTGACTCAGAACAGTCCTTTGAGATGCCGTAAATCCGTGAAGCAAAAATAGTACAGATCAGAATAGGTGGTAATGTATGAGTCAATTCCAAAGTTGCTTATCCCCCCTTCCCCCTTGGGCGAACTTCCGGGCGTTTGACTTTGGAGAAAAAATTGGTCAAATTCCCACCTTACGGGCTTTTTATATCGAGATTTCTCATCGTGAAAGTAGAAAAGAGTGTTTCAAAACTGTTTTATTATTTTATTCAAACAATATAATAATATTTTATTGAAATGAACTTCCTGTGGTAATAGACTCCAATGCTTTTGGGTAATTTCCAGGATGGTTGCCTATTCGCCAGAGTCAAACTGATGATGGGCAACTTTGGAATACACCTTTTCAGCTGCTCTTAGACCTCGACAGCGTGTTAAATATTCTTTTGAATTTGTAGGAATGTGAGCAATGCAAACATTGATATGAATAGTCTCATTTGTCAAATTCAAAAGAATGATTAACTTGCTATCGAGGCCTAAGTGCAACTGCAAAGGTGTATCGACTCATACATAAATTTTGCTAAAATAGCTCTGTACGTTTTCTATTGTATGATATCAGTACTGTTACTAGTAATTAGTAAAATAAGTTCACGGTTTTAGAGCGTGATTTAGCATTACCATTAACAGCACTGTTCAAACAATGTACTCAGATATTTTTCGCTTTTTTTTCTGGAGGGAGAGGCCGGGAGATGGTCTTCCTTTAACTTTGCTTCACTCTCTTTTGACCGTAAGTATTTCCGCATCAGACCAAGAAAATGTCTTTCTGTGACGATTTATAACTGCAAAACATGACATGAGAAGTGGGGATTGGGAGAAGGTGGAAAAAATGAGAATTTTAGAGCCGAGTATGCCTAACCTCTGACGCCGTAGTATAGTATGCCGAGACTTCGTCCACCTCTTCATTGTCGCAACCCTCAACACAGCACTCCTCATAGAGCGAGCCATGTCTCTTTGTTATTCCCAATTTCCGTCTCAGGAATTGATTCCCATCTTCACTTCCTATGATCACTCCCTTGGCAGTGGAGAACATCACTGTGCATGCGTAAAGTAACATTACAAAATTATTCCCATATATGTATGTTACAAGGTGAGAGAGTGGTCTCGTGCATGAAGTTTAACTTCGTGAGCCCTTTGGCCTAAACTCCATTATAGCGAGCCCAAATAACCAAAAAGAACCATGTTTTTTTTCCTAGCTACTTATGTTAAATCCCTTGAGAAAACTAAGACATGGAACTCGTCTGCGCTTTTTCTGTTCTTCACTCGACACCCACAGAGATTGCAGAAAATGAAAATTTCCAGAAACTCCAAATGTGCATCCTAAATGATTCCCAATCATGAATTTTTACCACTAATAGATCCGACGAGC